AGTCAGAATAGTAGTTATCCTTGAGGATGCAGGGGGCTACTGGAAGCTCCCTGTGCATGTATGTTGGGATGGCTTATGGAATGGGAGTATTGTTGATACTCTGACTCCTAATCTGGGTGCTTATTATGGTGGTTAACTATAGTATGTGTACTTTCCTATATGCATATATTTCAAAACAGTGATACTCAATATATGTTAAAAAAAAAAGCAAGTACATACTTCGCGATGATACATTTACCATAGATCCATTTTTGTTGAAAAGCACATGACTGTACAGAACAATGCTGGGCAGAATATACACTCAAATAGTGTTAACAATGGTTAGCTCTGGGTGATTTTTTCCCTTCTTTTCCTTTACCTATTAAAAAAAAAATCTTCCATACTTCCCATATTCTTTTTACAGTGTATAAACTTTTTCTTTTTAAAATCCTCCCCCAAGGATATTGTTTTTAAATTGATTTTTGAGAGAGTGTAAGGGAGAGAGAAACATTGATCGGATGCCTCGTCTATACAAAATATGCAATGTTTTAGTATAAGGAGGGCTCCAACCAACTGAGCCACCTGGCCGGGGCTACAGTGTCTTACTTTTACGAAAACAAAACTACACCTAATTGCATTTTATGAACTACAACATGTAAAACTCCACACCCACTTTGGGACAAAAAATGCAATTATATACTATAGAAAGGGATTAACCATCACTCAACCATAAAAAAATAAAATTTTTTTTTACAGAACAATTCCAGCCCAAGCAAAATCCTGAAGTGCAACTCTGGGATTTACATTCTCAACAATCCCATATGCAGCTAACACCCAAGGATTATCAGGATTAGGTGAGTACCAGGATTATACAAGCACACTCCAGACATCTAGTAAACATATTTAATGCCCTCTGTACTAGGATAACTGTAAACCATTTACAATCACTACAATCTTGCCTGCTTCTCAGGTTTGGCATTTTTTGCTTTCTCCCTTGTATTCCCAAACTGCTCTTCAAGTCTGGAGGCAAAGGCAAGACTTTCTGGGCCACGAGCTCCTTGCTGGCTGCTCTCAGCTGTCTCTGGACACCTAAAGCACGAATCACTCTAAGAAAGCCTCATTTTTGAACTGAAATGTGCTTTGGTCTCACTGAACTGCTCTGTTTCTTTATAAACAAAGCAGTGTCCAGTGTCACAACACTGGACATCACTGCATCTTAAAACCAACATTCATTACGAACTGGAATCAGATTGAGGTCTATTTTGATGTTTATGAGCTAAATCTAAGAGCGGTTTTACTAGTCAGCCAAATTCATTAAATATGAGGACAGCTGGAATTTAAAGGACATCCATACCACTGGCTCACAGCTCTACACCCCCACTGAAAACAGAAACCACAGGACATTCAGAGTCTCACCATGTGCTCTTTAATCTTTAAGCCAGACTTATAAGTGTCCCAAAACCAGAATCTTGCTTTCACTAATACTGGCTCTAGGAAACACAGTATGTTTGCAGCACTCTTCCTCAAAAGGCTGGAATTACCTCAAAAGCAGTGACTGCGACCTCCATGTCTAGTTTCCTAGGGCACTTTGGTTGGCTACCTGTCTCTGTAAGCCTCTGCTGCTCAAAGCTACATTCTCCCTTACTTCCCTCACTTGATCAATTCCTACCCAGGAGATACCTCTTTTAAGTTGTTGTCCCTGTGTCTCCATCTTAAGAGAAGCTAAGGCAGCCTCTCTGAGCAAATCCCTATTTAGCATCCTCAGAATCAGGGATAAATGCTGCTACTGTACTTTAGTAAGTTTGAGTCCAACTGTACTAATACTTGTCATCTTTTAAAAACACAGTCAAAGCAGGTAAACTAAGCAAACTGGAGACATCTGAGCTCTTTTAAGAGATTATTCATCTTGATTATACTGTGACACTCTCTCCGTTGTCAGTTTAAACCATCTTACAGTCTCTAAATTAATAGGCCAGGAATATTCTGCAACACTGAATCCAGATATTAGATCTGAACTATTAATGCAGGGGCTTACTGAAGGAAAAGGTTTTCAGGCAGATAACCCAGGGACAACATGTAAATCTGAGACAGACACTGCACACGCCCACTTCCTGTGAACTAGGAACAAAATACTCAATCTCAGTACTCAAAGAAGCCAAACCCTGGAGAAAACTTAAGTCTCAATCTCTGTTTGCCCCAAATTCTGTCCTGCAAATAGGTCCCACCACCACCCCCCGCATGTAGTATTTTTCACGCCCAAGTCACATCCTGAATATACTGGATTTGTAAGGATGGGGAAATGAAAAAATAATTCTATTGATCATGAGAAAACTTCAACAACGCTCTTAAGTGACAGGACTAGATTAAATGAGCCAACTGTAATGTTTTAAAACTGTCTTTCTACAAATACCATATGATCTCACTTGTATGTGAAATCTAATGAATAAAAGTAACTGCGAAGCTGGATGGAAACAGGCATGGGTACATGGAACAGACCGACAGCTGTCAGAGGGGAAGGAGCAGGGTGGACGAGATGAAAGGCGACAGGATTAGCCAAAGAAAATACATGTACAACCCATAGATGCTGACAATGTGGTGATGATGGCAGAGGGAAGTGGGGGCTGGGTGGAGATGAGCATGATGGGGAAAATGGGGACATCTGTAATAGGGTCAATCACTTAAAGTTAAAAAAAAAAACATCCCACAAAAACCTGTTCCTGTGTTTCTATACCTGGCTGACCAGAACTACCTGTGGGACTTACGTATTTTTCAGACCGTAAGACACACTCCCCCCACCCCCAATTTGAAAGGAATAATGGTTGTTAATGCTGCTGTTGAGTTGTTTACATTTACATTGGTGAAATATTGTTATTTATGTTATTAAATATTTTACCACATTTTCTTGCTTCAAAAAATTTTTTCCCTACTTTTCTCCCCTAAAATCTAGATGTGTCTTATGGTCTGAAAAAATATGGTTATCTGATTTCCAGGCTCTACTAATCAGACTCTCCAGCTACAGCATGGAAATTTGTACTTTAAAAACGTTTCTCAGATGATTCTTGTAAGAGATTTGTGAAGCAGTTAAGAGAAAACTGGATGGAGTGGTAACTGTTGTGATAATTGGTTTCCAAAATGTTGACACTGCTACTGAAGTAAGGTTCTGTTATACCCGTCTTTTCATGTTCTATGTAAAGTTGGGGCAGGGGGCAGAGTGAATTCCCCACTAACTGTCTTCTGAATTTGGCTAGTATTTCTCTGAGTGAACAGATCATGGCTGCACTTTGGGCTGGATGATAATGTGGTGCTATCCAGCATAGTGTAGGACACTTACCATGACTGACCTTGACTTTTTATGACAACAGTATTTCCTAGTCATTGGGACAACCAAAACCACTTCCCTCATATTCCTCAAACTCCCAGGATTGTCAGTTCAGCCCAATAGAGAGTCAGTGAGCTGGATTAACATCCCTATCTCCTACACTTCACATTAAGTTCCACTTTTGGAGGGAGAAAGGGTCTGTCCAATAGGTGATTTTAGGAGGAGCCAGCCCATTCATTCCTCTCTCTTTTGCACCTTCCTGCCCAGAGGGGAAATTCCATCCTGAGGTTTTCCACTTGGCTGGCTAACTCCTCCTGTCAGATTTGAACTTAGGTGTGGTCTCCACTTTGGAGGGAGAAAAGGGGGCTTGGGCTTCTGCCTTTACCTAAATTCCTACAGCAATAAATAAATCTTAGAATAAGAGAAGTTAATTTAGTTAGAGAATATAAACACAACCATAATTCTGCTCTGACACTTTAAAGATGCCTTTTCATTATCTTTCTATGTAAGAGAATATTACTGTTCAAAGAGAAAGAACTTTGACAAACATTTTTAATTGAAAAGTTTCATTCTGTCTCAGATTAAGAACCTTGCTCTAATATTGTAACGTGCATGGCAGGTATGTCCATGCTGTCAGTTATTATTGGGGCACCAAGTGCCTAAGTCAGCGACCCAGAGGACTTGAAAAATGTGTGAATTCATACTTTTAGAGCATGTAAAACTGGTATTTACTGTTCTTCTTCTTGAAATCGGCCAAGGACATCTGAAACAGTCTACAGGTATTGCCATAGCAGTTGCTTTGATGTTCAGAAAGACTCAGAAATGTGTTCAATGTCATGATTTGTGGGTCCTCCAGAAGGTTTTGTTAACACGCAAGCAAACACTATTAAGCAATATTATCTAAATTATGGCTGTCAAGTACTAAAGATTAATAATGAAACCAAATTACAAAACATTTTCTTGTACAGCTATACGAAAGATATAAAATTAAAAATATCAATAATTTTTAAGTATTCCAATTCTTCTACAGTGCCATTTCTCATATCTTCATCACTACTTAATAGTTTAAGGAGAAATAAAATAAAAATAGATAAAAATATCTAAATCTTTAGATCCCTTCATTCCATGGCATCCTTAAAACACAAAAGTGGCCAGATTTTCCCCCATTATAGCTTAAAATATCATAAAAGATTTATTAGTAATTTGTATTAGCAATGAACTCTATTCTGAGTCATTTGTAGATTATAGGCCTAACACCAGTATTGTATCTCATGGGTTGCCAAAGTAATTTCTAACACTTTGAGTCCTCTTGAATAATGGAATGAGTCAACTTATCACAACAAAATTCCAGGCATTATCAGAAGAACAGGTTAAGTGATGCCTAGTTTTATTGTCTTAAAAAGGAAGGGGAGTTACTTATTTGAAAATACAGCTAAGTACATACTTATTTATGATTATTCACATTGATGTACTGAAAATATCTATTATTTGGACAAATCCTGTGATGTGCCATTCACTATAAAATTAAGTTCTTCCAATGTGCATGAGTAATTTATTTAATGTAAAGAAAGAATGTATCAAATCTTTGTGTTCCAAACATTAAAAATGAAAATAAAAAATCTTAAGCCTGGAAAACTATGAATAAAAGACCCATCCATAACTCTGCTCCTCGGAACATCAACTTCTGCAAGGACACAGTATGTTTGCTGACTTTAAAATGTTTATTCTTTAAAAAATTAGTTGCTTTTTATACAGCTATACAAAGTTCTTAAATGTTTCTTTGGCAATGGAATATAATGGAATTTTACAACTATATAAAAAAGTTACCTTTGCCTAAGAAACAGTATTTACTGTGTGTACATTGACTGACAAAATTCTCTACCACCCAGCAACCTAATTAATTGACGAAATAAGCTACCTCAGAAAGGATGTTACAGGGTTTCCGAAAAAAAAAAAAAAAAAAAAAAAAAAAAAGGAAGGGAAAAAGACACACAGACACACACACACACACACACACCCTTCTGTGGCTCAAAACACAGTATCACGGCCCTATCTGCAGGCAAGTTGCAATAATTGCCAAATACAATTTAATGATAAGAAAAATCCTTTCAATGATGAAAAAATACTTTATAAGTCCAAGTACTGCTTTAGTTTAACTATACATAAGAAATTACTTAACATTCTGCTATTTCAAATATATTTAATGCTCATTTTTAAAGATGAGCTGCCCCCCCTTGCCCAATATAACTGTTATTATATCTTTGAAATTAAGCAGAAAAACAAAGAAACAAACAAAAAAACCCAGTGCTGGTGACAAATATACAGCGAATTCACTTCTTCATTCTTGGTAAAGACTGAAACCAATTCTCAGGACCATGAAGAACTAGAAATTCACCTATTTTCAAAGACTTGTTTGTAGACTACGCAGCAACTTTGTTGTCTTTCTAAAAAAAGAGAAAAAATCAGCTTAAGCTTCAAAGTACTGGTTATTAATAATTACTTCTTTCTAATTTGCTTAAGTATATTTTATATTAACTTTAAATATACTCTCCTTTTACTTTCATATACAAAAATATGTACCACTGAATTTCAGGAAATACTTTGAACAACTTCTACACACAGCAGGATCTCATTATTTGTTAACCACATTTTCTCATTAGCAGAGTGTAAAGCAGCAGTGTTGTGGGCTGGTCCCAGTAAGAAGCACCCCCCTCCAAGATAAAGGTGTACCCCACTATCTTTGGTTGCTACCCTAATAATCTTTAAGAACAATGACAAAACTTCAACCTTCAGCATACTAGTCAAATTCATCAAATATAACCAACAACATATTTTGGAAGAAGATTAATAAAATCTAAGTCTTTGACATCTTTACTAAGTAATAAAATATTCAGACAGTAAAATAACATTTCTTGTCAAAGGGTCATGAGAGAAGAAAGCAGTGATTTGAAAATGCATTTTAAAGGATAACTTTACATTTGAAGTAAGTTCTGAAAATCAGAGTTGACTGGGAAATGTCAAAAAGTAACTAGGGGAAAAAGCAGTAAAAATCTCAAGGAGCCTCCAGCTTTCCAGTGAGACTAACCCTAAACTAAAGGCCTGTACACACACAGTATCAGAACCAGGGGCTTCCATTTTCCTCAGGACAGGTTGCTACAACATACCTTGCTTTTACTGCTGATTCTCACCCTGATTATTAGAAATATGCGCATCCTGTTAAGGACCTAACTTCATCTCTGCATACAACACCAAACCATTTGTACAATGTTAGTAAATTGAAATACATATAGCATGGTGTAAGCTGGTGCTGAAAGAATTAAGCTGAAGATGATCCTGCTAATGATCCTGCCACTCCACACCAAAGCCAACCTTCATATATCCTGATTTCTTTTTTTAAGTCTTTCAGAAAGCTATTTGATTAATCCAGACATTAAGGTCCAAAAGCTGTGGGTTTCTGAAAGGAGGGGGGAAAAGAAAAAGAACAGGAGAGAAGGAAAAAGGGAGAGACAGAGAGGAAGAGGGATAAAGGGGAAAAAATGGTGAAAGGGATGGAGAGAACTACGATGAGTTATTTGGAATACCCCGCTATCTCTGGACACTCTGAAGAAAAACATACTCAAATGGGAGGCAATCTGTCTCATCTACCCTGGTGGCTTAACCTCTTCATAGCAGCATATAAAACAGTAGCTGTCTGTCTTCCTATTACCTTTGGCCTGATTTCTTCACCCCCCAAAAAGAAATAAAAGGAAAACACCATAGGACCAAAATCATTCCAAGTTTATGTTTCTAATGTTATTCTTAAGGAAAATCAGGCTGGAAATCAAAGACAGCTAAGTTTTGGCTTTACTGTATATATTAGCTTGTACCTGTATCAAGAGTTAACCTCTCTGGTTCCTTGGTTACCTAAGCATGTATTGGGGTGGGGTGGGAGAGAGGTTCAAGTCTTGCTGATATTTTAAAAGAGTTCTAAAACCTGATAATCCTATCAAACCTATGTTCTCATTAAACAATCAGATTTGCTTATGCTCACACTAAAACTGTAATGCTTCATACCACAAAAAACAAAGTCAACCATTACTTGAAGACTGCTGCAAATTCCACCGATATCTACTTCTGAGAAGTGTCAGATGCTTGAGAAATGAGTTTAATCCCTGCAGGTAAATCTCCTTTATCTAATAGTCATCACTCACTATTTCTACCTTTATAGGTGCCAGATGATAGAATTTAGAAGGCATAGGCTGCTGAGAAGGCCAGGGCTTTCCTGGAAGACAGAAGAGCGATTCAACTTTGGAATGGACAGTCAAGAGCTAGTTGCACTTTAGCATTATTAAAAGGCTAAAGTAGTGTACTCCTCCATAACAAATGCCAAGCATTTACTTCAAGCTCATTATGCTCCATGCTGAACCAAGTGTTTTGGTAAAAAATGTAGAATACATATTCAATGATGTCAAGAGGCTTGTATCTAGTCCAAGGGTGTCAAACTCATTTTCACTGGGGGCCACATCAGCCTTGCAGTTGCCTTCAAAGGGCAGAAATAATTTTAGGACCGTATAAATATAACCACTCCTTATTTGGTCATTTGAAGGCAACCACAAGGCTGATGTGGCCCCTGGTGAACAAAACACATGAAATAGGGAACATGAATTTATTTAAAATGTATGCTAATGAAAGCAAGTATTACAAGAACGTGAGGAAAAGAAGAAATCAGTGGAAGAAGGAAGAGAAGTTTCCAAGGATAGAGGAAACCTTGGGCAAGAATGTGAAGGGTAAGTGAAACGGAGACCCTGACTTTTGGCTATGTCTGACTTCCCACTGTATTATAAACACCAAGAAGGCAAGGACCAAGTCTGCTCTGCTTTGCACCAATGTCCAGCTCAGGGCTTGGTATCTATGAAGAATTCAATATATTTGGTCTATCAATGAGGTCAGAGTTGGAATCAAGTACAGTGTTTATAAAAATGACCATGAATCAACTTGTGTGAATAAGTTAAAGGGTAATAAGAAATGGGGCTGGATATGTCAAGTGGGACCCTCACAGTAAGAAGAGGAAACAATGCAATGTCACAATATCTTTTAACCACTGGGTCAATGCATTAGGGTCCAGTGACTGTCACTCCTTGAAACATATAAGATTATTCTGTCAGGGATACACTAGTGCAGATAAAGACTCCTGAAGATTACGTCTACAATGCATTGTAATTCTGCAATATACAGGGTGGGGCAATGTAAGTTTACAGTTGTTCAAATGGAAAATAATTCAATAATTAATAAGAATAAACTTTGTGTACTCAACAACTGTAAACCTATTTTGCCCCATCATGTATGTGATAGGGGTTTTAACTAACGGCTCAAAATGACTCCACAGTGAGCCATGGCTTCAAAAACATGTTTGCACTGATATTTACACATGCACTTATCATGCGTACAGTAGTTACTCAAAGTTTAGTTATAGTGAAGTAATAGTCAAATCTGTTACAGATTGACAGCTATTGTCAGTCTTACAGACAACATGACAGCTATTCTTTGAAATATATAAAAAATTTGAAGGGTATATACATATACTCTGCAGGTTTACAAGGACAGAGTTAAACTAATAGTTTGAAGATACAGAAAAAAAATTTTCACTCAGACTGTGTGTATGTCTGTGAAACCCAAACAATTAGAGCATCCCTGGAATGGAATGATGCCCTTGGGAAGAATAAGGTCCCAGCTTCTTCAAGGGCTACTACAGAAATGGCCAGGAGGTCATACCTCTCACTTTCCAACTCTGAGACTTAATGACCTTTAAAAGATGTATCTGAGATAAAGACTATGCAACTCTCTTTCCACAAATGTCAACACTGAGAGCCTGAAAGGTTTAGCAACTCAGCTGTGGTCACACTAGCAGTAATTCCTAAAATTCTCATTCCAACCCGCGTCTAATTTAAATGTACTTTTAAGTACATTTAAGGGGAATTAAAGGCAAATATCTGTGAAAAGCCTACTGAATTCTGTAAGTAAAATATCACTGGCAAGAGCAGTAACAGTGACAAGTAAAAGACATGTTCTAGACTCCCAGGTGCAATGGAAATTTTGCAAGTTAGCAGTGCTTAAGATCCATTAGGCTACCATGGCTGGACAGACTGAGCTAATGAAGAGGCCATCTTGGCTGTGATGAGACAATACCAAAGGCATCAAGATTAACACACCAGACCCAAAAGCCACTGAAACTGAACATTTAAGGAGGATCTCAACAACGGTCAGTTTTAAATATTAGACTATGAAATTCCTGCTAGGTATTTTTGTTTCTAGCTGCCCTTGGCAAGCCTGAGACTTCTTTACAGAGGGATTTTGATCGTTCTGTGATTGTATACCTTCCTCTCTGCTATCCCTAAAAATCAATAAACTAGGATAGTGAAACTGATTTATAGATTCTCTTAAATAAATAATACATATAAATATACTATATAAAACTATACAATTTTCTAGCAACTGTTCCCAAATGTCAATATAACATGAGATTTTCAAGACCATGACAAAATAAGAAAATATAGTTGAGTTTTCCACAAAACTAAATTAAGAGCACTGACTGAGAAACAAATTTACTAGGTTCAAGACAGCATCATCACTTACTAGCTGACCTTGGGCAAATTATTTAATATCTCTATACCTATTTCCTCATTTGTAAAATGAGGATTAAAAAGAAAACCTACTCCACAGAGATGCTGTTAAGTTTAAGTAAGTTAATGTAGGAAAAACATTTAGAACAATGCTAACACATGAAAAATACTATGTAAATGTTAGTTGCTATTAAATGCATAGGTTTGTCTTCCATTGTGAAGTACACCCTTCCTAGACTCTTTTGGTATTAAAGCATACTTTGTAATCTGAAATGTAGATGGTATAATTTTTTTTGGATGATGCCTTTAATGATCTCCTGACCCTCTAGCAAAAAAACAGTTTTAAAAGTAAAAAGAAAGGAAAGAAAGGAAAGAAAGGAAAGAAAGAAAGAAAGAAAGAAAGAAAGAATATCCTAAGTCAGTCTCTAATAGATTTTAGGAGAAAATTTTACCAGTCCATAAAAATCTAAAACCATAGTTTCATAACAGAAAAAAAAACCACTTATTAGCCAAGAAGTTACTGCTCTGTAAAATTATACATAAATATCCTAATCGGCTAAAAATAAAAGTTATGCAAATGCCCTAAAAATGTTCACCCAAAATAAATAAAACATTTTGAGTTTCACTGAAATGCATGCTGTTTGTTTGGCATATAGTTTTTTATGAAAAGCATTATTTACCCTATATTCAAAATCTGCAAACTCCCTGCCTCCACGACCTCCTCTGAATCCACCACGAAAACCTCGAGGGGTGGTAAAGATACCACCTCTGCCACCACCACGCCCTCTGCTACCACGGAAACCAAGACCTCCTCTGCCTCTGTAGCCCCCACGGCCACGGTTTGGACGAAGTGGGATTCCAAATGTTTCAGCATTTAATCTTCTTTCTTCAGCCCAGGTTGGTCTTCGTTCTCTATGATAAGAACAGGTAATCTTTAGTGTATATCAAGTTTTAAAAAACATTTTCAAGCGAAACTAAGTAGCACTAATTTCCAAATTAAGCTGAAGCAATTTCTAAAGATCAAGTAAGAACAAGCATCTTATATAAGTCATCACAAGCTGTGCATGACAATATCTCCTAATATTATGTTAAATTTCATGTGAAAATATGACTAGTATTTAGATTCTTGCAAATATAGTTGATAAAACAAAAGAACACAATAACAGCACTGATATAATGGGATTGGCAATTAACTCTACCCTCCACTCGGCCTCAGTGGAAGAGAAGGCAAAGCCAGTAAAAGAAACCATCTAAGGAATCTGGGAACAGGAGGGTAGGTCCCTGTAATCCCACTACCATCCTGGTCCAATTCTTGGACCTGATGCCTGAAGCAAGACTCTGAATTGCTGCTTGTTGCTCCTATTGTAGAGCCCAATCACAGGGCTCAGAATCCTCCCCATTCATGTTTTAAGTGAAGTAGACAACTGCCACCAGGTGGCACTAAATTGCAGCCAGCAGGAGAATTTGCATTGGTCAACGGAAACCCTGAAACTCTTTAGTTTGTTATGCTACGTCCTTTAATTAACCTGGCAATTTTCTGGATCCACATTGACTGAAATGTGGCAGAGTTTTACTACATCAGCGAATGTCAAAGTAACACTGGTACTTTTGGTTCTGGCTTTATTTGAACTACACTGTAGAGGGGTAAAGTAAAAGGTTTTACTTAGATGTTAGATGACCACTTCTTTAATTACTAATTTTAATTTTAGTATGGTTATTTTCTTTCTCTCTTTATTTTTATTTTTAAAATTTATTCCTCTTTAGAGGGGAAAGGAAGGAGAGAGGGAGAGAAATATCAATGTACGGTTGCCTCTTGTGCGTCCCCTGCTGGGAACTGTCCTGCAACCTAGGCATGTGCTCTGACTGGGAATTGAAGCGCGATTCTTTGGTTCGCAGGCCTGCACTCAATCCACTGAGCCACACCAGCCAGGGCTGGTTATTTTCTTTTAGCAAAATAAAACATTAAAAAATAACAGTCATTAGGTATTTTTAAGTAGTCATTAAACTGTGAATTTATAAGAAATTACTTCACACTTCAATCTCCTAAGAACTTAAGAGCAGCTTAAAAGACTGTACCTATTATCATCACAAGAAATATTATCAAAGAAGGATTTAGTTTTGTCATAATAGCAGTTAGGTCCGAGTGGATCTTCTTCATCTGCATTTCCTTCACTGTTTTGAGTATCAACTCCTGAGTCTCCTTTATCTTCACCATTTACAGGCTTCTCTTGTTTCTCAAGTTTATCTTCTACTGGAAAAAAAAGGGCACATACCATAAAAGTCAAGACTTGTACTAAACATCGATGATCCACAAGTCAAATAAGAGTATTTCCTGAGTAGAAAATAAAAATTCACCTTTCAATTTAAGTTTATTATGAAACTCTCTGTCAATTTCTTCCTTGTTAAATTGTGCATTTGCACTTTCAAAGTCAAAGTCTTTTTCAAATTTCATAGGACCATCTCGCCGAATACCAAATCTTCCCCTGCCACCTCGATGACCCCCACGCCCTCTCCTTGGAGCTGAAGGAGCACCTGGAACTATGTTAATAAAGAAAAAACAAGCCAGTTTAAGACGGAAGTCATTATTGTGGTTTTTATATTAAATGGTCAACAGAAATGCTTACAAGTCTCTATACATTACTGTATTTTTATATAAATATGAATTTGAACTAATATTTAACATACGACACACATGAAATTTACATTTATGAGGTCCACACTCATATATGTAACAGATACAATGCATAGCCAAACAATTTGGTTCAAAATTACTGTATACGCCTTGAGGGTAGGGGCCATGTTTTGTTCATATCCCTAATACTTGGAGTATGAAACACGAAGTGGGTTCTCAAAATTTAATAGGCCTTTTGTGGACAGGATCACAGGGACCAAGATTTATAGGAAGAGAAATAAATGAACATGAGTAAGAACAGACTGCAAGGTAGGAGGTGCTATTTCTTTATCACAGATTTCATCAAAGATAAGCACCAGGTCTCAACCACTCCAACCACTTCCTATTCCATCTTTATTGTCTCTTTCTCTAAGTGGCTCTATATTATTCAAGTCTTCCTGTACCTAGTCTTTTTCTGCAATATAATGGTAACAGGATTTATGAGATATAATAAAGCAACACCAAAGCAGCACAAATTATAGTGAAAACTTGAGAACTCAAATACCCAAAGTAAGAGAAATAGTTAAGAAAGAAACAAAGCAAAACAGGAACATGGAATAGTACTTGATGTGAGTTAACAGAAACAGAGCACAAAGCAGTATGAATTAAATGATTAGTTATGTATAATGTTTAATACATACTGACAAAGATCAGAAGTGACTACAGAGTGACAGATTTATGTTCACTAAAGTTTGGAAAACTGCCCAAGCTTGAGAAAACAAATCACACCCTTCCCACCCCCCAAAATGCCTAAGTACAGCATGATCTTTCTGTCTCCAAACAAAACAAAACAAAACAAAACAAAACCAAAACCAAACAAGTTTAGCCCTGGCTGATGTCACTCAGTGACTGAGCAGGGGCCTGTGACCCATAGAGTTGCCAGTTTGATTTCTGGTCAGGACACATGAGTTGGTTGAGGGTCAGGTCACTAGTTGGGAGTGTGCCAAGAGGCAAGCACACACTGATGTTTCTCTCCCTCTCTTCCCCTCTGTCTAAAAATTAAATGAATAAAATCTTTAAAATTTCAAAAAAAGGTTTTAATATAGTCTTTATGTGTAAAATCGTAAGGAAAAAAATCTAATAGATTAACCACTGCTCTGTTAATGAGCCTCTGGATGGCAAGTTTTGAAGAGGAATGAAAGATACTTTTATTCAGTATTTGATATAATTAAAATTTTTTTCTTTATTTATTTTAGACAGATGGGAAAGGAGGAGAGAAACATCGATGTGTGAGAGATACATCAATTGGCTGTCTCCTGCACACCCCCAACTGGCGACCGGGCCTGCAACCCAAGCATGTGCCCTGCCTAGGAGTCGAATCTGCGATGTTTTGGTTCACAGGCCAGTGCTCAATCCACCAAGCCACCCCAGACAGGGTGTATCATATATCTTTTTTTTTTTTTTTTTAAGAGAGGAAGGGAACAGGGTTGGGGAGAAAAGGAAGCACTGATGCAAGAAACATAGACTGGTTGCCTCCCACATGTGCCCCAAAAGGGGACTGAACCTGTAACCCTTCAGTACATGGGACAAAGCTCCAAACAACTGAGCTACCTGGCCAGGGCTATTTTATATAATTTTTAAACGATGAAAGTACAGTAATTATTTTATTTTGAGAGAAGGTGTTCTTTTTCCAAAAAAAAAAAAAAAAAAAAAAAAGTAAAGTATAATAAATCAAACCCAAACTCTCTATTCTATGGCACATAGCACAAACAAAAACACACATAAAAATGTACAGGACAAATGAGATGTTTACACATTTAAAATACATCTAGCTTTCTAAAATTTAAGTGAAAGATCACTTTCCAATTCTTATCTAAGGCAATCACACATTGCCTTAATCTTTGAATTTGAAAGAGCTTTAAATTATAATTTATTCAATACTAATACATTAGAAAATATTAATAATATAGATAAATTGAAATAAATAATATAGATTACAAAGCAGATAAAATATACAACCTTATTAAATCAGTAACCATGAGAGAAAGTTAAAGTTCTTAAATAATTACTTCAAAAAAAGGCTCAGGGCTTAAATAATTTTAATGAGAAAACATCAAACTTTTAAAGTACAGATAGATAATTCCATCCTTAAAAGCATAGAAAACAATGAAAAAAATTTATAATGCTAATATGAAATGGACACAAAACTGTAAAAAATGAATGCAAAAGAGAAAGCCATACAACAATGAAAATATAACTGTACAAATCCTACAAGCAGACTAACATTCAAGAATATCTCAAAAGAGAAATGCCTACTATCAAATAGGGTTTTATTCCAGAAATGTAGTGATGCTTAAAAGAAACTTTTATTTTAAACTAATTAGGAAAAAAACCCTAAAAAATTGTACAGAGTGGTCCTAGACCCCTACCACCCAGCTTCTCTTCTAAGCCAACATTTTAGTTAACTACTATACATTATCAAAACCAGGAAATTGACAATTAACCACATTACAGATCTCATTCAGTTTTCAGCAACATTGCATGCACTCATTTTTTGGTAGTCTTTATGTACAATTACATGATATTTTGCCATACATATGGATCCACATAACTATCACCAAAAAATAAGATAAACTGTTAACACAATGAAACTCCACTGAGCTACTGCTTTATAGCCATCAATCCTTGCCATTCATTTTTTAAATTGTAATTATTCACTACACATTTCAAATGTTCTTTCTGTTGAGAAGTATAAAATATGGATTTTAGATCCAAGTAACTTACCTATTTGTCTCTTGTTATCATTTCTGAGTTGCTCATTTTCTGGTCTTGAAACTTTGTGTACTTCAACTATAAAGAACAGAAGAGAGTAAAAAATTAACTCAGGACACATAATCAACAACATCTGTAAAGTTAGAAATGAGGAAAAAAAAACCCCAAACAACCACCCTCGAATCTACACCCCCACCACCATCACTACTTTGAGCCAAATTTGAAAGAATGAACATTCTATCAAGTTCAGTTTAAATCTTCTAAGATCATTCATATAAAGTGTATCTTTTTAATGAAAATAAGGTGAATGGAAAATGTCGATGAGTCAATTAAGGAATTAGTAAATAGCTAAAGTTCTACCTCGCCTGTGCTCTTGATTCTCTATTGCTTTTTGGCTGGTAGATGGTAAAGGCCTGGTTGATACAGGGCTCCTTCTCCCAACAGGTGCCGGAGCAGGTAAGTGGGCCGAGGCGGTCTGTACTGCTTGTTCCATGGTAGGGCTTTTTCTCAAAGGATCTAACTGAGGACTTGAACGACCTAAAATGTAACCAGAAGATAAGAAACTACCCTATCCTTCGGGGATTTCAAAATAGACTAGACCCTAAAAAAAAGCCTACTTTTACTTCTACCAATTCAAATCCATAGCACAAATTTGAATTCATTTACTTACTAAACCACAGTTTAAAACTGATTCTCTTTGGTGGGCTGGTCGCTTAAAAAAAAAAAGTACAAACAAAACAAAAACCCCCAAAACAAAAATACTGCAAATTTTATCTGTATTTCTACCCAATGAAATAAGGTTTAAGTAAGTTTTTCAAAAATTTCTGCCTAGTACAAGATTCCCTAGGAGTATTACTGAAGATCATGTTGCAGGTGAGATGCCAGTTTCCCCCAGTAACCACAACCACAAGATTCTATTGATACTTTAGCTATTATTTCCAGAGGTTTTGATATTTTTAGTACTTTCTGAAGATATGTCTAAAGTGATATCTTTATGTTCACACGTACTAGTTCCAATAAATTACTTCCATAAAGGAAGTAAAGAACTAGAAAGTTAGGTGAGGTTATTCAATACCATCTTAGGGGCTTACGTAAACATCAATACTAAAAATTGCCCTTTGGATAATTACACAGCAGTGACACTCATCCCTTGACATTTCAAAGATCTCTTTTCAAGTTTTTGCTTAATATAGGTTTGTATTTACAAAACGATCAGAAGGATGCCAATCACATTTGTTCCTATAATGTTTGTGATAAATCTCTGTTCAAGGTACTCTCATATCCCATGATACTGCACGAAAATATTTTGCTTAAAATAAGTTATGCTCATTTTATTTAAAAAAAACAAACAAACCCAAATACGCTGCAAATGTCACTACCTACCTGTACATGTCTGCACAGGCTCCCAACAATTGGTGAACTGGTGAGTGGCAACAAAGCACTGGTTGTTATGCACTAGATGCTTCAGGAACCACTTATCAGTAATACTGTCAAAATTTATGGTTATCTAAAGTATGCAACTGCAAATGTGTCATCGCCAAAGTTTACTCTAGCATTAATAGAAACACTGTAACTTTCCCATTGGGTATAATGGAAAATCATGGTGGGTTTATGTAAGTTTTGGACTAGGAGAAGACATTTAATAATCACTTATGACCTTATAAAGGGGTTTAATTTATAAGATAAGTATTAAGTAAGTTTTTTGAAAATCCTATTGTTCAGTTAAGTTTTATAATTCTACATTAAATGATCTTCTAAGTTTATAAAACTTACTTTATCAGGCTTTTCTTTGAGAAGACCCTGCTGCAAGTATTGCAGAACCACACACAATAGGGCAATCACAGCAAGTAAGAACTCTTTTTTGTGTACTTTAAAACCATTGAAATTAGTCTATTAGTCATGATGGTAATTTGTTATGAATATGGAAACACAGGCCATACTAGACATATTATTAGGAATAAACACAATAGCTATTTTAGTATAATAAAAACACACCCCTTATGCTCTTCTCATTCTTAACACAGATTTAAAAAAATTCTACCTGTTTTAATTTTGTAAAATTCAGAATTATACTTGGCAAAATTAAAATGCAAATTCACAGGCCTTCTCTGCCATTCTTTATGTAAATATACCCCTTTCTTCTAATAAACAGAAATATGTATTTAAATTTTATTTAAAGTTTAGTTTGGTCCTAACGATGAGAGAAGGAATCTAGTTATTTCCCCCAAATGATCAGGCAGTTTTGTCTGTCCCAACATCATTTGTTGAACAGCTAGCTTTTCTTTTTTTATTTTATTTTTTAAAGATTTTATTTACTGCCCTGGATGGTGTAGCTCAGTGGATTGAGTGCGGGCCTGTGAACCAAAAGATCATGGTTCGATTCCCAGTCAGGACACACGCCCGGGTTGCAGGCCAGTTCCCAGTAGGGGATGCATGAGAGACAACCACACATTGATATTTCTCTCCCTCTCCCCTTCCCTTCCCCTCTAAAGATAAATAAATAAAATCTTTAAAAAAAGATTTTATTTACTTATTTTTAGAGAGGGGAAGAGAGGAGAAAGAGAGGGAGAGAAACATCAACGTGTGGTTGCTTTCCATGTTCTCCATACTGGCGAGACACTGCCTGCAACCCAGACATGTGTCCTAGAATGGGAATTGAACCAATGACCCTTTGATTTGCAGGCTGGCACTCAATCCATTGAGCTACACCAGCCAGAGCTACCCTTCCTCTAATTTAAAAATAGTATCTATATCATATAGTAATTACTTAATTATACTTGGATCTGCTTCTGACTTTTGTTCATTCATCTCAATGTATTCCTACATTGATTGCTTTACTTTATATATACTTTATCATTACTACCTCATTACTTTTTATTTTTAAACTATATCTAGTTATACTTCCATGTTTATTTTTTAAAATATTTTATTTATTTATTTTTAGAAAGAGAGGAAGGGAGGGAGAAAGAAAGGGAGAGAAGCATCAATTGGCATCTGCCTCTCCTATGCATCTCAAGTGGGGACAAAACCCTCAACCCAGGCGCATGGTCCACCAGGAATCAAACTGGCAATGTTTTGCTTTGTGTGACGACGTCTAACCAACTAAGCCACACTGGTCATGGTATCCACATTTATATGTAAGATAGTATATATATGAGTTTAAATTCTCATATCATTCCATTTAGATTTATTGAAAGTACAGTAAGTTTAATTAATATGACAAGTAAAGCCTTCCCAATACTTTATTTCTGTATCTAGGAATAAGATGTTTCTCTATTTATATATTATTATCTTATTAGGTCCCTCTATTACTATTTGTATTTTTCTTCATAGAAGTTGTTCTTATTTCTCATTATTATGAACATCATATTTTATCCCCTTATCTTAATTAGTAGGTTAGGTTAGAACAACTACTGACCTTTGTACATTTACTTTACATTTTCCCCTCTAATTTAAGTCCCTTATTAGTTCTAAGGAATTCACTTTTCAGTGAATTCTTAATTCAAAGTAGAAAGTTATGGCACTGATAAATAATGTTAATTTTAATATGTGTTAATTTTAATTTCTTTTTCATGTGTTCTAATTAAGCTAAAAATTCCAGAACAATGCTGTAAAACAACACTGACAATACACATCCTTGTTTATGGTTTTAATAAGAGTTCTTCTGGTGTTTTCATATTAAGCTTAATGTCAGTTATTGATTAAAGATAGCTAACATCTGATCATGTTCTATGTGGTAGGCACTATGCTAAGGGCACTGCATAAATTAAAAATTTATGCACAAGAAAATATAAATATTTCTTATTTTTGGGTAGTGAGACTTTATTTTAATTGTTTCTTATGCATACTGTATTTCTAATTCTTCTATAACAAATCTTTAGAATATTTTAAAAGTTATTTTAAATCAATATAAGTAACAGTACAGCTATTTCAAAAGTGAAGTAGACAAAATTATGTTTAGCATTAGCTTGATTTTACCCTCAATGGCTTTAAAAAATAATTGTCTTGTGATTACAGTAACTGAAGTTACTTCACATTGTTTTTATTTAAAAGTAAACATCCACCCTGGCTGGTGTGGCTCAGTGAATTAAGCACTGGCTTAGGAACCTAAACGTTGTCAGTTCAATTCCCAGTCAGGGCACATGCCTGGGTTGCAGGCCAGATCCACAGTTGGATCAATGCTTCCCACACAGCTATTTCTCTCCCTCTCTTTCTCCTGCCCTTGCCCTCTCTTTATATTGGGGGGGTGGGGTGGGGTGGGGGGAGTAAACATCTGCCCTGGTTGGTTTGGCTCAGTGTACTGAGTGCCTGCCTGCAAATCAAGAGGTCAGTGGGCCAATTCCCAGTTAGGGCACATGCCTAGGTTACAGGCCAGGTCCCCAGTGGGGGGAGGTGGGGTGGGGCACATGAGAGGCAACCACACACTGATGTTTCTCTCCCTCTCTCCTCCCTACCTTCTCCTCTCTCTCAAAATAAACAAAATCTTTTAAAAGAAGTAAGTATCTATATAAAGCAATGAGCTAATAACATCCACTTTGGCAGTAGATAAAAATAAATATGAAATCTTGGGACCACTTAAGGTTATAAGACTGGGTTGGGGTAGAAAAATAGGACAGTTTAAGAAACTTATTTAGCCCTAGCTGGTATAGCTCAGTGGATTGAGTGTGGGCCTGTGAAGCAAAGGGTCACTGGTTCAATTCCCAGTCAGGGCACATGCCTGGGTTGCAGGCCAGATCCCCAGTAGGGGACATAGGAGAGGCAACCACACATTGATGTTTCTCTCCCACTCTTTCTCTTTCCTGTCCCCTCTCTCTAAAAATAAATAAAATATATTAAAAAAAAAATGAAACTTATTTAAATGCAGACCTCGCAAGCCCCAGGGATTCTGCTGTAGCAGTTCTCATAATCTACCTTTTTAAGCACTCTAGACTATTTGGTTATGGGTGGTCCACAATGAGAACTACTTCTCTAGATCAGCAACTTTCAGCCTTTTTCATCTCATGGCACACATAAACTAATTACCAAAACTCTGGCATACCAAAAACATGTATTTCTTGCTGATCTGACAAAAAAATGCATTTAATTTTGATCTATTCACTATTCACCCTGGGACAGCTATTGTGTTGGTTGTTGTCCCCCCTTTTTTGGACAATTTAAGGGAAAAGAGGTCAGTGCCCCTGACTAAACAGTCTGGAATTGCATGCTAAAATTTTAAAAAATATCTTATTTATTTATTTTCAGAGAGAGGGAAAGGGAAGAAGAAAGAGAGGGAGAGAAACATCAATGCATGGTTGCCTCTCATATGTCTACCACTGGGGACCTGGCCTGCAACCTAGGCATGCGCCCTGACCAGGAACGGAACCAGTGACCCTTTGCCTCACAGGCCTGTGCTCAATCCACTGAGCCATACCAGCCAGGGCTAAAAAATATTCTTTTTAACTGATTTTTTTTGGTGACTGAGAGGAATGGAGCGAGAGCATGAGAGACAGAAAGAGACAGACAGACATGGAATCACTGTCTCATTCCATTTTATTTATGCTTTCATTGGTTGATTCTTGTATATGCCCTGTTCAGTGATTAACCCTGAAACTTTGGTATATCAGGACACTCTAACCAACTGAACTACCCAGCCAGGGCCTAAAAATTCTTGTAGCACACTGGCTGAAAATCACTGCTCTAAATTCTGTGAGGATGGTAGGAAAGATGCAAGGACATAATGAATAGTTTGTTTTCTCAGCCGTTAATTCAAATTCATTAAGGAGAGTTCATCTTCAACAATGACTCTGGGGTTAATCTGATATACTTAAGTATTACTATAAAATTTATATTATGCTTGCTTTGTAAAAAAATATCAAACTTACAGAAAGTTCACTCCTTCGGTTTTATGACCTAAGAATTGTAAAGTCTAAATAGTGGAAATCATTCAGTAATGTACGTATTGCAACAGCAGTTAGAAGAAAAGTTTTAAAACAACCAAATAAAAATTATACATGTGATTTGCAAGCTGCAAAAATTCTTACACTCAGAGAAAGACAAAACCACTATAGAAGTTTAGGATGAAAATATTTGAAGGAAAAAACAGCTTACCTTGAGATAACTGTGTTTTTACAGATCTTGTGTCCTGTGTAAAGGCTGAACCAACTGCACTACTTTGGGATAAGGTACCGCTGTTTGATGTTTCTGTTCCAAAGGATGTCAAGGAGCTTCCAGCTTTAAGAGATTTTTTTAATGACAAAAAAATCTTTTTTAAAATTTTAAATCCTTCAATTATATATAGTAACATATCATTTTAATAATTTTCATCACCCTTCTGTTCACACAAATTAATCATCCTAGAAATTAATGGAAGTGCACTAAAAATTAATTTGAGAAGTCTCTGACAATACTGTATAGGAGAAGAGCAATCCAATATATTCTCTAGAATCCTAGATGCAAAAATGTTTCTAACATATGCCATACTGTTCTAAGCAGTTATACAGATAAGACAGCAGGGACCCACACCAGATAGAGTAGCAGAAACGGTATATTCTACACCAACATTAAAGTTCAATTGTTTTATCTGCACAAATAGCCAAATCAGCACAGGCCTATGAAGTGCTTTCCCAGTATTTCCAAGGTAAGACAATGGACTCCGGTCCATTTTAATGCTTCTACTTAGGATGGCACTGTGGGGCTGCATTCTACCTACAGCAGGGTTGTCAACTCACTTTCACTGGGACATCAGCCTTGAGGTTGCCTTCAAAGAGCCAAAATAATTTTAGAACGGTATAAATGTAACTACTTCTGAACTATTAAAGAGCTGAAATTACATTTGACCCTTTGAAGGCAAGCACAAGGCTGATGTGGCCCCTGGTGAAAATGAGTATGACACCCCTGGCCTACAGCATCTACAAAGTGTTGGTAATGCAAGTAACAAATTCCTAGAAAGGGCTCAATGTTTTGCTATGTTAGGTTAGGACAATCTTCTTTAAGTTCCTACAGTACTTATGAATCATTGACTTTTCGTATGCTGTGCTGTCCTCTTACTTACTATTAATCTATGTAGGTTTTCTCTGGGAGGAACTATTTCTCTAGCCCTTCTCCCTCCCCGAAATCCAATCTAAAGATGGTAGCCAGAATAATCTTTTATGACACTCAAATATTGTATAAGCATATTACTACAATGCTCAAAGCTTTCCACTGCTCTCAAGATAAGAAGTTCAAACTACCTACACATCTCCCCTTATATGCCTACTTCTTCTTGTACCACTTTCCTTATTTTCACCAGTCAACTCCACAGATTTATCCATCTACTCCTAAAATATCTGAAGACTATAATCATGCCCATCACAGTCTTCTCATGTTTAAGCTAAGCAACTCCTGTTCCTTCAACCATGACTCACCCTCACAGGGTATTTACTCCCCATCCTTTGTCTCCTAAGTTAATGAACAGTCATCCTAAAATGGGGTATCAGGGCCTAGCACACTATCTCAGATGAGAACTAATGGAACTCTCCTACAAGTGTGATCCAGTCAGGATGCAGCCCCGGCTAGCCCAAGAGAGGCCTAATATAACCTCCCACAACATGCCCAGAAATGTTGGGACAGTGCTCTTAGTAATTTCTGTAGGAAGCGGAATTCATCCCATTATTCCTAGTATGTTTGGGCAATGATCAAGACATAAACCACTTTGATAATATATCCCCATGCTGTCTGTATTTCCTCACTTGACTCAACTTCCTACTGCTTGCCTCCCTGTTACCAAACTTTTCTATATCCTCCATCTTGTCTATGAGATGGTAAACCACACCTACATCTCTTCCCCCAGTTCTGCTATTATTTCAAATTATTGTTCTTTTAATGTATGGTGTTAAGGAAGGGTCAATGAAAATTTTTCCCCAGATAGATATCCAGCTGCTGCAACATCATTTGTTAAAAACATGTCCCCAGCTGGTACATCTCTCTACACTCTGCCCCTCTCCTTTCCTGGAGAGTGAATAAAATCTTTATTCTCTTAAAAAAAAAAAAAAAAAAGCCAAATATCCCCATCTCTAGGGCCCTGGCAGGGAAGCTCAGTTTGCTTAGAGTGTCATCCCAATATGCCTAGGCTAAGGGTTTGATTTCCAATCGGGGCACATACAAGAAGCAACCTATGAATGCATAAATAAGCAGTACAAACTGATGTTTCTCTCGCACTGTCTTAAACTAACGCCCCCCCCCCACTGTACTAAACTGGCACCTTTGTTTTAAATGAGTATTTAAGTGGGTCTATTACTGTATTCACAATCCTTTTTTTAAATTATATTTTATTGATTATGCTATTAGAGTTGTCCTGACTTTCTCTCCTGTCCCCCTCTCCAATGAGCGCCCTCTACTCCCTCAGGCAAATGCCCCCCCCCCCCCCCCCCACTGTCCAGTCCTTGGGTCATGTGTACAAGTTCTTTGGCTACTCCATTTCCTATACTGTACTTTATACCCCCATGGCTACTCTGTAATTACCTATTTGCACTTCTTGATCCCTTTGCCTCTTCACCCATTCTCCCTTTACCTTCTCCCATCTGGCAACTAACGTCTTTTGTGGCTTCTGAGATCCTTTCTGGACTTCCAGCCAAGATGAAGGCGCAGGTGGAAACACTGTGCCTCCTCCCACAACCAAATTTAGGACAACAAAGATTTAGAAACAAAAACACAACCAGAACAGACAGAAAACTGGACTGTACGGAAGTCCTACAATGAACCTTTCATCCAGACCCATAAGAGGGGAGGAGTCAGTGGCTGGCAGACAAGGGTCATAGCAGGAAAAAGCTCAAACAAATGGTGTGAAACTCATAGACCCCGGGTGCGGGGAGGAAACGAGCAGACCCAGTAAGGCGCACAAGGTGGTTGGCTGACTGCGGACACACATTCCCATGCAGATAAACCTGGCAACAACAGGCAGTGAAACAAACCGCGCAACCCAGGCCCCCAGGAACAGAAATAAAGCCTAAAAGCACCAACTGAAAACACTTGCAGGGTTGAGGTGCCGGGAGAGATTCCCAGCCTCACAGGAGAGTTTGTTGGAGAGACCAAGAGGGTCCTAGAACATACGCAAGCCCACACACCCGGGAAACAACACCAGAAGGGCCCAATTTGCTTGTGGGAAGCGGCAGAGGGGACTGAAATATGAGAGACAACAGAGCAAGTGCCATTGTTCCCTCTGACCTTGCCCCCACATACAAGCTTCACAACCCAGTGACGGGGTTGCCCCTCCCCGGTGAGCACCTAAGGCTCCACCACTCATACATAACAGGTGCAACCAGACAAAAAAATTAAAATAAAAATATACAATACAATACAATACCATAAAAATGGCTCAAATGGAAAAACAGATCAAAGCCCCAGAGCCAATACTTCTAAGCAATCAAGAGATAGCCAACCTATCAGATGCACAGTTCAAAGCACTGGTGATTAGGATGCTCCCAGAATTGGTTGATTTTAGTGGCAAATTAGATGAAAAAGTGAAGGCTACACTAAGTGAAATGAGGCAAAATGCACAGGGAACCAATAGTGATGGGAAGAAAACTGGGACTCAAATCAATGGAGTGGACCAGAAGGTAGAAACAACCAACCAGAAAAGAATAAAGACACAAGAAAAAAATAACAAAACAAAAAGAGGATAGGCTTAGGAACCTCCAGGACATCTTTAAACATTCCAACATCCGAATCATAGGGGTACCAGAAGGGGAAGAGGAAAAATAACAAGTGGAAAATTTATTTGAACAAATAATAAAGGAGAACTTACCCAATCTGGCAAAGGAAACAGACCTCCAGGTAGTCCAAGAATCTCAGAGAGTCCCAAAGAAGGTGGACCCAAAGAGGAACACACCAAGGCACATCATAATTACATTAGCCAAGATTAAAATGGAGAGAATCCTAGAAGCAGCAAGAGATAAGGGGACAGTCACCTACAAAGGACTTCCCATCAGACTGTCCGCTGATTTCTCAAAAGAGACCTTACAGGCAAGAAGGGGCTGGAAAGAAGTATTCCAAGTCATGAAATCCGAAGACCTACATTCAAGATTGCTCTGTTCAGCAAAGCTTTCATTGAGAATGGAAGGGCAGATTAAGTGCTTCTCAGATAAGGTCAAGTTCAAGAAGTTCATTATCACCAAGCCCTTACTATATGAAATGTTAAAGGGACTTACCTAAGAAAAAGATAAGAAATATGAGCAGTGAAAGGACAGCAAGCTCACAATCATTAACAACCACACCTAAAACAAAAGCAAACTAATTAAGCAACAGCTAGAACTGGAGTCGAGCCACAGAAATGGAGATCACATGGAGAATTAGCAACAGGGGAGTAGGAGGAGAAGAGGGGGTGGAAAAGGTACAGAGAATAAGTAGCATAGACGGTGGGGGGGAAATACAGGGCGGGCAAGAGTAGAGTGGGAAATGTAGAAGCTAAAGAACTTATGACACATGGACATGAACTAAAGGGGGGAATGTGGGTGGGAGGGGGTGTGGAGGGAAATGAAGGGGGGGAATGGGACAACTGTAATGGCATAATCAATAAAATACATTAAAAAATAAGACCCTTTATCTTTAACCTTTGGCCTTTTAATTATATGTCTTGGAGTGAGCCTTTTTGCATTCAACATAACTGAAACTTTCTGGACTTGCATGTCTATTTCCTTTACCAACTTGGGGAATTTTTCTTTCACTATTTTTTCAGACAGATTCTCAATTTCTTGCTCCTTCTCTTCTGCTTCTGGCACTGCTATGATGTGAATGTTGGGTCTCTTAAACTTGTCCCAGAGGCTACTTTTTTGGATTCTTTTTTCTTCTTGTTTTATGTGGTTGTTTTTTGGTTTCTTATGTTCCAAATCATTGATCTGATTCTTAGCTTCATACATTCTACTGTTGTTTCCCTATAAATTGTTCTTTACTTCAATTACTGTGTCCTTCAGGTCTGACTGGATCTTTTTTATGCTGTTGAGGTTCTCGCTGAATTCCTTGAGCATCCTATAAACAGTGATTTGAATTCTGCATCTGATAGATTATTTATTTCTATTTCATTTAGCTCTTTTTCTGGAGTTTAGATCTGTTCTTTCATTTGGGCCCTGTTTCTTTGTCTCCTTGTTTTGGCAGCCTCCCTGCGTTTGTTTCTATGTATTAGGTAGAGCTGCTTTGACTCCGTATGTTGCAGTGTGGCCTAATGTAGTATGTGTCGTGTAGGGTCCAGTGGCACAGCCTCCCCTATCACCCAAGCAGGGTATTTGAGGTGTGCCCTTCATGTTGGCTGAATACACCCCCTTTTGTAGTTGAAACTTGGTTGCTGTTGGCAGATTAATGGGAGGGATTTACCCAGGCCAGTCAACTGCAAGGACTGGCTGTGACCACTGACCACTCACCTCCACCATCCTCAGAGGATCAGCTGTGCAGGGGCACAGTGGTGGTGATGTGGTCTGTAGCTGTCCACTGGGTGCAATGGCCCTGGGGTGTCCCCAGTGGTGCAGGCCAAGGTCAGCCCCAACCTGTGTTTTGCTATGGGGCACCCTGCCTGAGCTGGAAAGCAATCTGAGATGGCTGCTACTTGTGCTGAGTATGGAGATTCCCAGGTGAAGCCAAGCTGTGAGTCTAATCTGGCTGCCACTGGGGATCACTGAAGCCAGCTGTTGCTTGTTTCATAGGATTTAGGAGCCAAGACCAGCCATTCTTCTGGAAAAGTAGCTTGGGCAGGCCTGTAAATTGGGTGGGGTTAGATAAGCTTTTGTGGATTTCCAAGGTGGGCCACACAGTGTTAGACAGGTTGATGGAGTACTAGGAACCAAACTGAAAACAAGAGACATGTAACCATAGTTGGATGTCAGACTCTTGTCATGAGTGTTTGTGTAGTATATCACGCCTATTTATTTTACTTTCTTTCTTATAAACAGTGCATCTCTTATAAGTATCATATAGCCTGATGTCATTTTTTAAAAAAATTTCAGTTTGGTAACTTCTGCCTTTTAACTAGAATGTTTAATTACTGTACCCTTTACCAAAGTATGTTTTTAAAAAAACTTTTATAAAATTTTATTAACTTTTAGAGAGAGATAGAAAAAAGAGAGATAGATCAACTTGTTGTTCCACTTATTTATGCATTCATGGTTTGATTCTTATATGTGCCCTAACGGCAAGTTGAATCTGCAACCTTGGCACATCAGGATGGTGCTCTAACCAACTGAGATACCCAGCCAGAGCCACTAAAATACATCCTTAAAAATCCTTTAATCTGTCACCCATAATGTATGAAATACCCTCCTGGTTTTATGAATTATAAAATTCATAAGCATGCCTCCTAAGTATTAATCAAACTCAGTGATTAAAAATTAATTTGCACAAAATACTGGAGACCTAAAAGAATCACTGTGCAATATGGTTTGAGTATTTAACCAGCTACAATGTACCCATCTATCTGTTTGGTCAGCTGTAACAGTATTATGAGGCTTAGCATGCCATGGTTGCTTTGCTGCTTGATACAATGTGAGATAATTAATTTTTCCTAAGCATCCATAAGTTATCAAAGTCAACAATGACCTAATCTTTGCATATAACCACTATTTTAGCTTAAAATAGTGATTTAATTCTATTTGGTACACCATTACTTTCAATGTATGATAATAACTGTTCCCCCATAATCTTGCCAAAAGAGAATATACTCAAACTTTAAGGTTTTGTCAGACTGACAGTGAAAAATGGTGTCTTGATGTAGATTTAATTTGTATCTCTCTTATTATAAGCAAGATTTAAGTATCTTCCCACGTTTAAGGGCTATCTGTATTTCTTTTTCTTTTTTTAAAGGGAAAGTTAGTTCTTAACCCTTTCTCATTGTTCTGTTGGGTTGTAGTCCTTTATTTTTAAAAGCTCTATAAGGATATTAATCCTTCATGATATAAATTACAAATAAAACTGTAGGAAGACTATAACAATATATGGAAATTAAAATGGAAAAAAATTTTTCCTAATCAAATAGCAATAGTGTAATCCTGATTTAGTTCAACTTTGATTTAAAATCAGAATACTAGGCCTGGCTGGGTAGCTCAGATGGTTAGAGCATTGTCCTGATAGGCCAAAGTTGTGGGTTTGACCCCTGGTTAGGACACATACAAGAATTCAAACAATGAGTGCATAAATAAGTGGAACAACAAATCAATGTTTTTCTACACCTCCTCCCCTCAAATCTATGTTTAAAAAAATCAAAGTACTAGGAACCAAAAATGAAAACAAGAGACATGGTTTAAAATCTGGCTTAATTTGTGCCAACACAAACTCAAGAGTCAAATCCTTTTCTGTAAGACATCTGCCGCGTTAATCAACACTAGTTTTCCTACTCATTTAACAAATTTTAAATAGATATTCTCAAATTAGCTGCTCCACAAATTATCCTATCAATACAGAAATCACACAATCTAAAAAGAATCTGCCACTGCAAAAATTACTCTACTACTACAGAAAGCACAACTAAAACCCTCTGCCTTTGTGATACCTAAAAAATACTAAACCAGCAACCCCTAGTAATATTAAAATTGGATAAAATCATTCATAAGGAACATATATTTCACCATCACAAAATACTTTAATTAGAGGGGTAGGCTCTGAAGAATGGCAGAGCAGTATTTAGTATACAGACACTATGTGCTAGACCCTGATCAAATGCCTTAGACATATTATGTCATGCAAACTTCACAGTAATGTAGGAGGTTAAGTATTGGTTTAGCCAAAAAGTCCATTTAGTTTTTTCCATAAAATAAAAGACATATTTTATTGATTTCGATATTCTGAGTATTTTGGCTATTTCCCATTATTGGCTTCTAGTAGGTAGAGGCTAGGGGTGCTGCTGAACACCTTCCAATGCAGAAGACAGCCGCACAGCAAAGAACCATTTGGACAAAACGTCAATAGTACCAAGAAACTTTGCAAACCACTTTTGACATGTTCCATCAGTCACAGCACCTTCTCCATACACTGCACAAATTTTTGTGTTTTAGCTGTGTTTTCACCTTTCTTGAAAGAAAGCACAATATGCTGAAAATGTTGCATATTTTCCTCCATCTTCAGTATTAAAATGCTGCACAAAAATTCACCAATTTTGGTAAGTTTTTTAAAAAAATGCACACTGATGTGACAGCTGTCACAATACAATCTAACAAAATTGTTTCGAATGAAGTTATGGACAACTAAGCACTACTAAAGCCATTGTATGGAAGAAAACTAAATGAACTCTTTGGCCATCTCAATACAATAACAATCCCAGCATTAGCCAACTATGCAATTTAGTGAAAGGAATTTCAAAAGGATAATATAATTTGCAACTATCTCTTATTTGAATCCTAAGAATAGGGTTTTAACAGTTATAGCTAACATAGAGCATATACAGATTTAACATGTATAATTAACATTGGTCTTACTATTCAAATAGGTTTGGGAGGTACATAAACCAAAGTTACATTATTTCACCTATTCAAGAATAAGTCTAAAAGGAATTAAATATTTACAATTTTTAACTTGAAACATGTCAAACCTATGTCAAAATTGAAAGTGTGCACTTGAATACTGATATATTCCTTTTCTAGATTCACCAACTGCTAACATCTCCACAGGCCTATTCTGTTTCTTCATTTCTTTATATCATGAAGTACACACTTTCCTTTTGTCTGGATAGAGTATAATCACCCTTAAATACTTCAAAACCATTAGTCTAAAACAAAAATGGTCTCCTCTAAGAAAATTAACAATAACACCGTTCAATTTTTAGTCTGTATTCAGAGTTTCTCAGTAGTCCCCATGACATTCTTTTTATCAACTTAAAAAAAAAATCCAGCTCCATGCCGTGGTTGGAGCAGCTCAGTGGAATGAGCACTGGCCTATGAACCAAAGCGTCACCAGTTTGATTCCCAGTCAGGACACATGCCTGGGGTGCACGAGAGGCAACCATACATTGATTATTTCCCCCTCTCTCCCTCCCGCCCCCCGTCTAAAAATAAATAAATTCCTTTAACAAAAACTTTAAAAAACATTCAGTGAAATTTGATAATTGGATATATGTAGCTTTTAAAAAGTATATTCTGAGAGATGTTTTATTTATCGATTTGAAAGAGAAACATCAATTTTGTTGTTCCATTTATTTATGCATTCAGTGGTCATAAAGTTGGTATATCATAAAGATGCTCTAACCAACTGAGTTTCGTTGCCAGGACTGAGAGATGACCATTTTAGAACCACTGGTCAATAAGGACATTAAATAAAGCCTTTAATACAATAGGCTTTAACATAAAGGAACACCAAACAAGATGTTTGAAAATTTGTGGTAAGAAAAAAAAAAAAAGAAGAAAGATAAAAGCTAAACGTACCAACACCAACAGCACCAAACTGCTGCCCAACTAATGAACTTGGACTGAACTGACTGTAAGTTGACATCCTGCCAAAAGGTCCATAGGAACCCACTGACTGGAATGACGAAGTAGACGAGCCTAGTGAAGACTGAAGAAAAATTGTGGGTTATTTTTCCAGGCTCTAAACAACATGCATATAATGGAGAGAAATCTGGATATTTACATTTTTAAGAAAACTATTAAATTATAACTACTAGATACAAAAGCAATTATTACTTAAAAGATACATTTAACATCACAACAGTTGAATAACCTTCTAATTTCACAATTTATATATACAGTTGACCCTCGAACAACAGGAGTTTGAACTGTGAAGGTTCACTTACAAATTTTTTTCAGTAAATATAGTTGGCCCTTCGTATCTCTGGTTGCTTGAAACCACAAATGGAGAGGGCCAACATACATCATTCTAAGACATTTTATGTAAAGGACTGGAGCACCCATGGACTTTAGTATCTATAGATGGTCCTGGAACCAACCCCTTGTGCAATCTGACAGGCAACTGTACTTAAGTTTTGGGGGAGTCAAAAGTTACAGGTGGATTTTTGACTGTGTGGGGACTGGCGCCTCTGAGTTCTGTATTGTTCAAGGGTCTACTGTATGTCTAATTATACTCAATATGATTTATAAAAACGTTTTTCTACAATAAACTCTTCGAGTAAAGCCTTTTATAGCAGATTTCAGAAGAACTGAAGAAATGTTATTTGAATTTGTTATCATGCATTTTAAGTCTGGTGCTGTCAAATAAGATATCTCACTTTTGATTTTACTCTTACTCTTGATTATTTGAGGTATACTACTAAGTTTACATGAAAGAGATGCAAAAACAAACTACCCCACATAAAAGTTTACATTTTTAAACATAGTTATCATTAAGTTAAAGAAAAAAATGAAAGACCTTAACTTACTGAACCTGAAATATAATTTAATATTTAGATATACAAAGTGTACATACAAACTTATCTTAATATGTTTCATAATATAAATATGAAGTATACTAATAACTACTGGGACATAAGCTCATTGATGGCAAGACCTTATATTTGTATTCACTACTAGTATTAGGTGCTCAATAAATACTACCAAAAGGATGAATCAAAATATATGTCAGTTAGAAGCAGTTATCGGTATCATTTTGGTCTTCGGTCTTGATTTTTCTCATTCCATAAAGCTGATTACTTAAATAACTGGTTCCCTGGAGAATTAGCATATCTATCTATCTATCTATCTATCTATCTATCTATCTATCTATCTATCAATCAACTATCTATCTATCTATCTATCTGACAGGTACCACCACTTTTTTGGTTTAGTATAGAGATTTTAAACCTTTTTCATCTCCTGGAATACATAAACCAATTACTAAAATTCTGCAGTGCACCAAAAATATCTAATTTTTGCTTATGTGACCCCCCCTAAAGAAGTACAATTTTCATCCATTCACAATAAATAGCTACTGTTATCATTTTTAAATTTGACAATACTAGGAAAAAGAGGTCAGTGTCCCTAAGTCAAGTATCACCAAGTTTTAAAAATTATTGTGGCACACAGGTTGAAAGTCGCTGGTATAGGCTATTTCTATTAGAATGTGTCTCTTCTACTTCCATTTAAAAAGTTCAGTTTTCTCAGGATTCCTTCACATTTACTTCCTCAAAAGAAAGAGTTAAAAAGACGAGAATAAACGAGAGTAAAGAATTTCTCCAGTTTATGTCACAACAATCAACACTTCTTATTAAAGCTTACCTTATATTCAGGAAAAATGAATAGTAAATAAATTTTAAAAGGTCTTTTTCCTTCTTTGATTTCATATTAGAAGAGTTCATAAGATATTTTAATAACTAGAAGACAAAGCCTATGCAAGCTAATACAGGGCCCAGCAGAAATAACATATGCTTGAGTGTGGTTGGTAGGGTAATAATACTGGCATAATAATATATAGTTTTACTTTGAACATTTCACCTAAAATGTCATATGGTGTGCTTGAATGTGATTTTGTTATGTTACAGAATTACATGCTTATGGTTTTGTAATTAAAAAAGGGGTGTTATTCATGCCTTACCCTGTATATATCTTAAGAATCTGTTTTGTGGAAAACTAAGATTTTATCATTCACAACACAAAACAGGGAAGTTGATTCAAAAGTATTACAATGATAAATTATTGACATATTTTAGTGCAAAGACTTCTAATAAGAAAAAAGGTTGAGAAGGAAATGGATTCAGAGGGAAACTAAGGGGGTCACAAGCTTTTAATCAGCTATGCCCTCAAATAAAAATACTGTATTTTTAGGACCATAAGACACACCTAGGTTTTAGAGGAGGAAAATAAGAAAAAAATTTTTGAAGCAAAAAAATGTGGCAAAATATTTAAAACCTGTGACCCCGCGCCACCACCACACCCTCCACAGTGAGACAAGCAAGCTACATTTAAACTATAAGACACACCCCCATTTCCACCCAAATTTGCGAGGGTGGGGGTTGCATCTTACAGTCCAAAAAAAGGTACTCTTATGTGGACCTGCTTTCTCTGCTGTTATAGCTGACAATTTTTTCATCCATAAACACTTTAATTATTCTATTTTAACATAAGACTTCATAACTTAAATCTCATTAAGTGATTCATTTGATGCTGTAAAGATTAAACAAAATAAGATTAAGCTAAAAAGTTAGGTCTTGTTATGTATAGGTGGTCCTGCCTTCAACAAGTTTATACTTGACTTGGAAAAATTGACCACTGATAGAAAATAAGACTGCGTGGAATTAAAGGTTACATTATCCAAACCACAAATGCCAAAGGGCAGCTAGTGTATATTCTGTTATAAGACCTGAATCCTGTGTGTGTCTTCTGTGCAGGAATCCAAGAGAGAGAGAGCTGGGTCTCTGAACCCTGACAGACAATTTCTATACACTTCCAATTAAAATGTAAACAGGTGCTATAATGGACATCCTCTTTAATCCCTAATTTAAAACCTTTTAGACATCATGTGCTTCTGTTTTTAATAAAATACACAATTCTTTTAGTTCTTTTACTGAGAACACTTAAGAGTCTTCTTTTTTAATGTCTTATTTAGGAAAATGAACATGGCCGTATGTTAAAATTTTTTTGTTTGACTGTATGTTAACATTTTTAATGTTATTTCCTAAAACGCAAGTATAGTGTATAATACATACATACATACATACATACATACATATAAAATACACAATATAAAGTGATTTAGCTTCTCCCACCCCCTTAAACCTAATACTCTTAACAAAGAGTAGTCATCACCACCCTGGTTTGTATTATGAACCATATGAGAATTAATATAGTGCGTGGATCTTGGATTCCAGAGCCAGACTGCCTGGGTGCATTCAGATTGTGGCTCTACTGTAATCTCACTTGTAAACACTGAGAATAATTATAATACCAAACTCAGAGGGTATTGATAGTACTTCTCATATAATTAGACCTCAATAAATGAGGGTTTCCTTTAACTGTTTTTAAAGGAAATATTTTATGATAAAAATAAATTCCTCAGCTATTTCTTACTTTATTTAGTCCCTTATGATCTAAAGAGAAAAACCTAGATGAAAACATTATCCAGGTATTTTAGGTATCCAGGGAACTAGAAAATGGTAAATTATATAAGCATTCAAGTGAGAAAATTTAAAAACCTGAAAACCCAGGGAGGGGCAAAAGCCAAGGCTAACCACGTATGTATTAAGTTTACTTGAACTCCAAGACAAATTTACTACGAGTTACCTGAACAATAGCTGGGTCTTGAGGCAAGGAACATTGTGGTTTTGGTGGTTCACAAACAGTGAGGTCTTTAATATCACTTCCACGGAAAATAATATATTCAAAGACTTCATCTCGAGGTGGTATTGGACGATCTGTTGGTCTATCTTCTGTACCAAAGGACCGCACTGGTAAAAAAAAAAATAGAGAATATGAGACATGTGCCTACTTATCATATTCACGTAGTGCCTCTTGTAAGCATACTGTTCCAAGTACTAAGCAGCAGTTCTTAAATGGCATCCATGAGAAAGTATTCATTAATCTGTAGCTAAATAATTTTTTTAAAGAGGAAAATGAGTGGCCTTTGCCTAGAGCTAAATGTACTGTTTAAAAGAAGGTATTACAAGGTTGTGTTCTTTCTACTTCATTCATTCATTCATCCATCCATTCATTCATTCATATCTTTGATACTCATGGTAAGAGGAAGTGTTATAATGTCCTTTCTTTCACTGTTGATTTGTTTTTAATGTTCAGCAAAATACAAAAATTCTACTTCATTCATTCATTCATTCATTCATTCATTCATTCATATCTTTGATACTCATGGTAAGAGGAAGTGTTATAATGTCCTTTCACTGTTGATTTGTTTTTAATGTTCAGCAAAATAAAAAAATTGGAAACCTGTGTGTGTGTGTGTGTGTGTGTGTGTATGTGAGTGCGTGTGTGGAGGAGGGCAGTGCATGAAGATTTAATAGTCCACTAAATCCCAAAGTTTGAGAAACTGAACTTTGGGATTAAAAGAAGACAACGAAGGGAATGTCTATATTGGTGAGTAAGTAGTAGGTCGCCTGGAAGCTGAGCCAAGCAGCTATCAGCTAGCTATTCAGCTCCTTGGGACAGCCTGAAATGCTCAGGCTACCTAAATTATGTATCTCAAAATTAAATGTGATCATTTTAACACTTAATAGCATTACTCAATGTGAAATAGTGGACCACCTGTATCAGGGTAAACTAAAAAGACTTCCGGGATCCTATTCAAATACACTGAATCAGATTTTTTAGATGGAGGGTTTACAAATCTGAACAGTTCCCCAAGAGTTTCTTGTGACTATTAAACTTGCATGTTCACTGTCTTAGGAAACTTCTGAAAGTTTCCATAGAAGTAGTTCCAGATTAAAAAAAAGTTTGAAAAATCATATATTGTCCATTTAAAGAGCATTCTAGAGTAGTAAACCCCTCAACATTGTGGAAAGTTTAGAATGGATACATTTTCCCACAGAACTGATCCAGAGCTAGATTTAAGGTAAATATTATTTCATTTTAAATAATGCCTTTTTTTAATCCTAAAAATTCTGTCTTGTCCTTACTAGACTTCCAAGGAAGATGGTAGCATAAGTATAGGTTTGCTGAAAAGTATTCCTTCTGAAAACTATACAAAATAAACAAAGTTAAAAATACCCCTAATCTAGGAAATGATCTCACTCATACCATGAAATTTTGTTAAAAAGTATCACCAGATGCTAGGATTCAGATGGAAGATGAATCCTAGAAACCGTATGTGGCATGCCCTTACACAGAAAACAAGGATAAAGAGTGGAAACTCCCCTCCCCCAGTTGCCAAACACTACTTATCAGGGTAGAGGTATAAGTAAATTACAAGGTTCTACATTTTGTCCTTATCCAAAAGGAAGGCTAAATAAAGAGTTAAAAAAAAAAAGCATGACTAAGAAGATTATAAATATATCAATCTCCCTCAAAAGCTCAGCACCACCACCACCAATGTATAATGTCCCAGCCCTCCAAAGTAATTGATTAGCTCATCCCGAAGCAGAGGAAGTCAAAAGGCACTTCCCCTCTGCAAAATAATAGAGCTCCATTAGTTTTCCACAGCCTATCAAAACTATAACCACATATTCAAAACATCGCTTTATATTCTCAAGAAAAATGAAACTTTTATGATCAAAATAACACTAAAACAAAAAGGTAGCATACAGAGTTAAGAGAAAAACAGACAACACAAATATAACAGCATAACTCCTAAGTACATATCAACAACAGAACAGTCAAAGCAGTAAAACCAATGCATTAACGGTGTTGAGAGAAGCAAACAAAATGTAAAGAAAAAGTCAGCAATTGAATAGTTAGAAAATAAATTTTTGGTAAACCTAACAGTTAATTGCTATCTCTGACAAAGACAAGAGAATAAATAAGAAAAAATATAATGAAAGATAGAGCAGAAATTTCCTGACATGAGACCTAAATCTGACCACAAGGTTTCACTGTACTTCCAGAAAAAAACATAGTGCACTATAAGACATATGTAGACTCATCCTTTGCAATATCCAAACCAACAACTCAGAGAAACAGTGGTACCAAAAGATGAGAGATGAACAGTAAGTTCATTTAAGCACATAAACATATGTGACAATTTACTATGATCCTAGAACAAACTGTAACTTTAATAGTTCTGAAAAAGGCTACAGTTACAAAGTGTGACAAGGTAAGTCAGGACAGTCTTAGGAGACTTCTGAATCCTACATCACAGTATCACATAATATTCTAACAAGAATTGGGAGATGAGGGTGAGTGGAACAAAGACAAAAACACAAAAGGTAATACAAAAACTAATACTCTCATCTTTTATAGAGAGTCACTTGATAAAAATCATGTCAGTACAGTCAGAAATCACTGTTTCACCCAATTTTACCTAACTCACTGTTTATTTTTTTTTACTTGTAGGTAACAGTAGCTAGTAACAGCAAGCCATGAAAGAGTAATGTAAAATGCCCACACACCAAATTTCCTCTTGGCTCAATCTGCCTACATATTCAGTCTTAAAAGTACTTCTTTTTTTTTTTTTTAAATATTTTATTTATTTATTTATCTTTAGAGGGAAAGGGAAGGAGAGAGGGAGAGAAACATCAATGTATGGTTGCCTTTCGTGTATCCCCTGCTGGGAACTGGCCTGCAGGGAACTGGCCTGCAACCCAGGAATGTGCCCTGACTGGGAATCGAACCGTGATTGTCTGGTTCGCAGGCCCGTGCTCAATCCATTAAAAGTACTTCTTGCACTTTAGGGAGAAAATTAGGTTCTCTCTAATGTTGATGCACTCTTCCAGCAGTGGCCTCAACTCTTCTTATACACTTTTCCATCAGACTACCTTCAATTTTTTTCTTTTAAGCTGACCAACAACTTAATTGTTGGGTAAATTTTATATTTCACCAGTATTTTTGTTAATGTTCTCATTTCGATTATTTTTTAAAATTTGCGATAATATGCCCTGGCTGGTATAGCTCAGTAGATTGAGCGCGGGCCTGCGAACCATGCAATCGCGGTTCGATTCCCAGTCAGGGCACATGCCTAGGTTGCAGGCCAGTTCCCAGTGGGGGACACATGAGAGGCAGCCACACACTGATGTTTCTCTCCCTCTCTTTCTCCTTCCCTTCCCCTCTCTCTGAAAATAAATAAATAAATTTAAAAAAATTTTGCGATAATATATAACATGAGATCTACCCTCTTAAATTTTTAAGTATCGTAACTATAAGCAAAATATTGAAAAGCAGAGCTCTAGAACTTTATCACCTTGCTTAATTGAAACTTTATACCTGTTGAACCACAATTCTTTGTTCCCTCCAGCCGCTGGCGACCACTATTCAACAACAGTATTTGTCTTGTTAACTATGGAAAGTAAATGGAAGCAGACTAGTTTGGAAGTAACTGTGCAAGTGATGGTGAAGAGGTACTTCGAGATCAGTCTAAAAGGGACTCAAGCTCACCAAAATAACACAACTTACTGAACAAAATTTCTTACTTAAAATTCTACAACTCTGGTCACACACACTGTAGTAGACCGCTCTGCCTGATTTTAGGAATTGTATCTCTACCCCTTGTAGCTAAGGGTGAGAGACAACCTTTGGAATGCCAGCCAAAGGAGGCAAAGCCTGTCTCTGATAGCAAACTGTCTCAGTTCCTTTCCCTGTCCCCAGAGCTTGGTCGGAAGTCAATGCCGGAAGTCAGTGCCCGTCAATGCCTGGTAAGACCCCTCACAGCGGGGGGGGGGGGGCAACCTAAAAGCCAGATTCGATCACCTGGGAGGCCTTCATGGAAGGACTCAGGGGGCTGCAACAGACAGCAATGGACTCTCACACCCCAGCTTTGTCAAAGCCTGAGTCCCCATGTACTCTGGGAGAAGGGCTTCCTGGCTCTAATTCCCTTAAGCCTGAATAGCTGATGGGGAGAAGTGCAGCTCCTTGCCTGGCCAGAGCATGCCCCGGGGAAAATCTGGCACCACAAAGACTTGCTGATTAACCTGTGAAATCTGCTAAAATTCATATGATAAGGGTCCAAGAGGAAATGAGTATGTCTCCCAAAGTTTCAGCAACTCTCTTCCAGACAGGCACTGACTCCGAATCCCTCAGATCTCTTTGTAATGTTATCTATTGTTTGATCCTTGCCTCCCTGTATTCCTGTGTATTACAACCCAATAAAAGGCTACGGAAGAAGGCACTCGTGCCCTTTTTCTCCTCGGAGAAACTAGCCGCTGCTGGCCTCTTTCTCCCCAGAGAAACTGGCCACAGCCCACACCTCCATTCTCAAACAGATCTCATCTTGTCTCGGCCATATACGCGTGTCCGTGGCACCGAGGGTACCTCGAGAAAGTGGTCGCCTCCACGACACACCCCTATAACAGACAGATACATTAGGTGCAATATCAAACACAACTACTGAGCTGACAAGCACGGTTTGTAAACCATTTTGGAATTATAGAGTTTAGTCAAATACTTGTAGCATCCATGGGAGTACTTCATAAAGAGAGAGCCTGGTAACTTTTGGTTGATAATGACATTTTGCATAGTGGATGGCTGTTACCATTCATCACCTCCTATCCCCATGACAGGCAGTTACAGGTATGGCAGTCTGTATTCCTAGGTACAGAGTGCTGGTGAGAGGTGAGCAATAGAAATCTTGTCCTCCAAAAATTGGGGCTGCATGACTTGACCTGTTTGGCAATTCACTGAGGGGCCAGCACAGAGGATGGTTGTTTTATCAACCCTCAAGGGCAAAAGCAGCTTCTCCCGTAGTGTTGGTGAAGGCATTTAAGAGAGAATACTCTTTTGTTCCCCCTCAAAAACAGTAGAATATACATTATTCTCATGGAACATTCTTCAGGAGTAAGACCATGGCTTT